ACAGGCTCAAGTTTTAGTGCCAACATTCAAAGTGAAGGATTCTATGCTCAGCATATTCTCAAGTGTGTATGTGTTTTCATCCCTGCGGTGTGCATTATTTAGCACTCCAAGTGGCTCAAAAAAACTGCAGGTGACATTGGTGGGTTGGTGGTGCTTATTTATAGAGAGTTTCTAAATGTGAAATGTATGAATCTAGCAGTCGTTGTAGTGCCTCTACAGTTGTTGATTTCGGTTTGGAACTCAAATCACTTTAAGATGAAGGTACCAGCTCAGTCTAAAACATAGCTTTTTTTAAACCCGGGGCTTATGCTAAAACAAGTCAGCCAACAGAACAAGACAAAATATAACTATATTCTGATGCAATGCATGCTCTGAAAACAAGTCTTAATATATTATGCAATTGGCTTCTCAGGTGAATTGATCTTGTTTTAGGAATTGTTGAATGTTTCTACTTGAACGAATACAAGAAAATTATTAAATACAGAATTGTTTGCCAGGATTGTGTAGTGAGGTGTAATAAATGGAAAAAGGTGCTATACAAAAAATTGTAAGAAGCTGAATATTATTGAAAAACATTTCTAGACTATTCTCGCAGTGCGTGTCTGTTTATAGCAGTGCATGTGCTTGTGTGTATCAAAGACAGTCATTTTAAACCCGGGGCTTATGCTAAAACAAGTCAGCCAACAGAACAAGACAAAATATAACTATATTCTGATGCAATGCATGCTCTGAAAACAAGTCTTAATATATTATGCAATTGGCTTCTCAGGTGAATTGATCTTGTTTTAGGAATTGTTGAATGTTTCTACTTGAACGAATACAAGAAAATTATTAAATACAGAATTGTTTGCCAGGATTGTGTAGTGAGGTGTAATAAATGGAAAAAGGTGCTATACAAAAAATTGTAAGAAGCTGAATATTATTGAAAAACATTTCTAGACTATTCTCGCAGTGTGTGTCTGTTTATAGCAGTGCATGTGCTTGTGTGTATCAAAGACAGTCATGTGTGTGTGTGTGTGTGTTTATGGATATATATTTCCTTTTCCAGGCAAAGCATTGCTTGCTTGGTTTGAGTGATACCATTTCAATTTTGTGTGTCTATGAGGAAATCAGAATGTAACATGATTAATGATGTAAAACGGCCAGTCAATGCTGTCAGTTGTGACTTATGATATACTGCACATTGTACTGTTGTCAAAGGAATCATATTTTTCAGTGTGACAAGAAACAATCATAAAAAATAGAAAAAATGCAAAGTGTACACCGGGTTTAAAAAAACAAACTGTGATTTATGTGGTATGTTATTAATGGTTTATTTAAAATAATATTTTTTTGAATCTGCAACTTTCAGACCAGCCTATTGCAGAATCTCATCTGGTGTAAAGCCCCCTAGAATAACCCCTGTTAGAAACTATAACCCACCTTATATTTCACATAAACCAGATTTATTTGGACCAAAAATAGTTCATTCTGAGGAGATTGATTCATTGAGGCTTGTTTTATTGTTTTTGGTCTTCTACAATATCAAATCAGTTCACTTTAAAGTTGTGCTTAAATCTACCTTGAGGTGTATTGCATAGAATTAGTATGTCAGTTGCATCTGACCTGATGTGGTTTTATGATCAACACTCTGTAGGATTTATTGTGGGGCCAGACAATATAATGCAATGCAATACAATGGTGACTGAGGGATGTACAAATAAACATTCCACAAAACCCTTATGTATCATTTTTGTGACCCTGGACCACAAAACCAGTCATAAGGGTAAATTTTTTGAAAATTAGATTTATACATCATATGAAAGCTAAATAAATAAGGATAGGACAATATTTGGCTGAGATACAACTATTTGAAAATCTGGAATCTGAGGGTGCAAAAAAAAAATATTTAAAAAGAAATGAGAAAATCACCTTTAAAGTTGTCCAAATGAAGTTCATAGCAGTGCATATTACTAATCAAAAATTAAGTTTTGATATATTTACCAAATACAATTTACAAAATATTTTCATGGAACATGTGATTTTTTGGACTAAAGGAAAAATCTATCATTTTGGCCCATGCAATGTATTGTTGGCTATTGCTACAAATATACCTATTCAACTTATGACTGGTTATGTGGTCCAGGGTCACATTTGATCATATATTTTCCAAAAAAAAAAAGATTCATGACTAATCAAGTAAACCTATTCCTAAATTGTGGCAATCCATTAAGTGTTCATCTTAAAATATCACTAACAATATAAAAGTTATTTTTACAGGAAAGGTTTCAACGCAGAAAACACATGACAAGCAGGACATGTTGATAATGTCGAGGCATTTTTAAATAGGCTTTATAGGGTTAATATCTGTCGTTGTTGATTACTCTAGAAAAAAGCAATCACAGTAATTGATTATGATTTAACTTGGAATGATTTTGTTCAATCATTCTTTAGTGTATATCCATATAACAGCGCCAAGAAAGACCTTGAAGGTATGCATTTTCTGTACGTTGTGCTCAATTTTAAGTCTAATTATCCAACATGAAATATTAAACATGGCTTTGAATCTTCAACAAATTACCATTTACTAGCCATCGCACTTAATGCTCAGCCATTGCACTTAATGCTCGGGGTATTGGATAGGTTTACAAAATAAGCTGACTTTGACTGATTGCTTAGCCCTGAATTCTTATTCAGGAGGAACATTTTCACCATCGGAGGAGACATACTTTGGAACAGGCTGGTGAAGGTAAACTTTGATTTGCTGTGAACAAAACATCTCTCGAGTTGAGTTATCATGTTCATCGCTCATGATTCTTGTTTCTCTAATGCTATGATAACGGCAGAAGACGTTTGTGAATCTAACATGAATTACAATGTTGAAGTTTTAGATAATTCTAAATATTACATGCACTAGATGTGATCACATATTTTACAAATAATAATTTTAAGAATTTTATTTTAATTAATTGTTATTCTTATTTGTATTATTTTTACATTTTATTTTTATTGTTTATTTTTATGTATTTTTTTGGTACAGTACAGTAATGGAAATTCATTTCTAAAATAGTTTATGCAAACTTTCACATTTCCAGAATTAAAGAAGTAAAATAAGCGCGAGAATAGAGGTGGGATAATTATTAGATGCCATTTTTCTTTTCCACAAGCTCACCATGCCTAGTCTCAGACAATGGCAATTAGAACACAATTGCTTATAATAATTGCTTACTAGCATACATGACCACGAGACTAATGCCTCAATCTATGGAGAACAAAAGCTGATTGCAACCTTAGTCCTCCTGCATGTATGCATCGTTTTAAAGGGGTTATATGATGCAATTTCAAGTTTTCCTTTCTCTTTGGAGTGTTACAAGTTGTTCGTGCATAGATAAGTTCCCTAAAGTTGCAAAGACTAAAGTCTCAAACCCAAAGAGATATTCTTTATAAAAGTTAAGACTCGTCCACGCCCTCCTAAAATGCCTCGTTTAAACAAGTCCCCACATGTCTATGTCACTGTGTGGGAAGATTTGCATAGCACCGCCCAAATGTTTATGCAAAGAAAGAAGGCATAACTCGTTTTATTCTCGTAGTAGTATTGTTGCTGCTGCTGCCGCCATGTCGTGGAGACGCTGTGTTTCGTTGTGAAAGCTAAACTACTTTGTTTGGCCTTCCAAAAGAGGACACGACTAGAAATCAGTGGTAAGTTGTATTTACAACACTGTTCCGGAACAGTTCAACCCAAATATTCAGATGTGTGCAACGCATTTTATGGAGGACTGTTTCCTGAACCTGGGAGAGTAGCCTACAATGCCGTCTGTTCTGACTCACAGCCTGTAAGTATATGTTCATATTTAAAGAATTTGCCACTGACTATTCAACCACGAGTTTTGAGCAGTGTAGAGTAGCGCTTGTTGTTTGTCGTTTCTCCGATCACAAATGCAGACATGGTTTTATGCTTACACGATACAACGCAACGCGTAAAAAGACAGTATAAGTCACAAAATAATGTTCTTTTTTAGCATATGACCTATTGTCAACCATTTAATAGCTAAACAAAAAGTGTATTTTAAAATTGTTCAGAGATAGTCACTCTTTAAATCAAAATGCGAATCCCACATAATGACAGGCCACCACAGTCTGTGCTTTCTGAAACGTTAGGCTTTGTTCTGTCTGCATTATGAACATGATGGCAAACACCCTGGCCAATTCTAGAAAGGTTCTTCCTCAGAGGCAGCCTTTGTAAATGGCTGTATTTAGCCAAAGGCCAGATTGTATATTTGGGTCTGTGGATCTCTGTAAGCATAGGAACAGTGAAAGAGAAGGGAGGGCGCGTTCTAATACTGCATCAGGATGTGAGATGAATAGTACTAGCTTTTTACCCCAGCCCTCTCTTTCTTGTTCTCTTTCTTTCTCTTTCTATCTCTCCCTTTGGTTTGTGCTTTCCTGCATTTAAACAGCCGTTTCGAGGCAACTATTGCCCGATATGCATTTAAAAGAGAATTCGGCACAATCAGCGTTCAGCCTTCAGATTGTCCGACAGATTCAAACCAAAGTCTGGCTCCCTATTAACAGTTGGAATGATTCATTAATATTTTTTACACCTAATTTTACACCTTTTCCAAAGCCCATGTTTTGGACTGCATGACAAAAATAAATTAATCCATGGGTGGCGTTACTAAAGGACATACAAAACAAAACTAAGCCGAACAAACAACAAAAAGAGAAAAGAGGGCAGCCTAGGATGGGTGGGTAATTGCACATCATTATTCCTATACTAAAAAGATAGTTCAGCCAAACATGGAAAGTCGGCCATCATTTAACAACCCGCTTTCATTATTTTTCCTTTTCTTTTGTTGAACACAAAAAGAGATGTTTAGCAGCATGTCAATGCTGTACTTTTGCATAAAATGAAAGCTCAAGTTTTAATTTTTGGGTGAACAATTACTTCATGATAGACACCTGCCCCATAAGGCACCCCAACTGGACAGGATTTGTGAATGTGTTATTGTGGCTTGTGGGAAATGTGTCCAGGTGCAGTGACCCTCACATGGGTCCTTCCAGGTGCGTGTCTTCATGTTGAAGTTCAAAACAGATGTGATGCCGGCCTCCACTGACATTACAACAGTTTTCTCTCCAAGATATTTATTCTGTTGGTTAGTTTTACAAATTTGTCATGACACTGAATAGGTTGAGTTGATTGAACTGACAGCATCATCAAAAAAATAAAACCGTGATAACGGAAAGGATTTAGGGTGTGAAATGAAAGTCTTCAGGTTATTTTACAGAATGCGTGACCTGTATGGATCATAATTAAATTCAAAGTCAGATTTCTAACAGCGAAATTAAACACAGTTAATTCATTTTAACTATTGGGTTCTTGATTTTATATTATTTATGCACATTTTGATGAAATAATTATTTTCAGCAAAAATTAAAAATGTAAAATTAAAGTGATTTCAAATCAAAAAGCACATCAATCCGTGTATCATTCGATCATTAGTTTTTTAATTTAATATTGAAAGTAGAAAAATGAGAAAACGGCTCCTTTTTCGTTTTTTTTGTTTTTTCCTAAAAACCGAAAACTTAAATTTTCGTTTTTCGTTCATGGGTGGAAAAATTAATAAACAGCTTGAAAAAAAAAAAACTGAAGTCACCATTCTCTGCCATTAAATTGGCAAGTGCGAGCAGGACATTTTTGTGTTAAGTAATACGCCTTTATAACAACATTAAGGTGAGTAGTCACTCTAGTTCACACAGTTCCAATAAATTGCGATGGGTTAAATAAACTCAATAAGCAGACAGACGCGACTACAGTCAAGCGTAAACCAGTATTGAAGTGCACAGGAAATAAGCAGCAGTCATATTTAAAGCAGTTTACATTCACTTCAAATGTATATTTTTAATTGTGTAACGTTACGTTCAAAATAACTACAAAATGTCATGCCTTTGAAAAAATAAAGAGAACAACAGAATGGCTGACCAATCAGCAGAAAGGGGCATTTAATTCTCGCCCACGTGTAGAAATCCAATATTCAAGCTGTTTATTCATTTTTTCCACCCATGAACAAAAAACGAAAATTTAAGCTGAATTCTAGTTTTTCGCTTTTTGGAACAAAACAAAAAAACAAAAAAGGAGCCGTTTTCTCATTTTTCTACTTTCAATATTAAATCAAAAAACCGATGATCGAATGATACACAGATTCACATCCTGCTGAATTTTAAAGTGAGGACAATGTTATGCATGTTGTTTCAACTTTGGACACATTTATATCCTAGCAGGTGAATAATAAAAAAAAAAGATTGCATCCTTTTCTTTTTATCATATGAAGGTCGCATGGTTTTGGATACCTTTATCAATTATTTTTGCTACTCATCAAACTTCTTAAAATATAAAAGTCTGTTATTAAGATACAGCATGCCTGTTACAAGTATAATATCATGCTCATGTTTATTTGTACTTATAACACGTATATTAATGCTTTATACTGCATGATCATATTTTAGAACTTTTAATCCTTACTCATACTTACACTTAACAACTAATTTACTTGCTATTAATAAACAGCAAATAAGGAGTTTGTTCAGGAAAAACTCTTAATTAATAGTGAACCTTTGTTACCTATTCTAAAGTGTCACTGATTTATTTTTATACTTTGGGATACACAAAATACTAGATAATGAAATTAGACTTGACAAAACAAAGGAATTGTGTCCATCACAGAATGCTATTAAACCAAATGTAGTTGTGGAAATTAAATTACATTGTTCTGGAAGTGTTCATGACTTTCAAAGAAAAATAGAACTTAGACAAAAACACATTTTTAGTAGAGAAATAAAGTAGTAAGAGAACTTGAAAATGTGTTTTAAGAGAGATTATTTTCTAAAAGTCCACTGGGGCACAATTGCTCATGCTTAAAGAAACCCTTATAGGGAAAAAAGCAAACAGCAGTAATTTATTCCTGTAACATGCCTTAGTTGTATCATACGTGTTGTTTCATTAATAAAGGTGCCGTATCCCACCGGACCCCTGGGACTCTGTATGACATCTAGTGATGAAGTGCAGAGTCACTCTGGCTTGTGCCTGTGCATATACAACTCATAAAGTGGGTCAGGGGTTCACCTCGATGTGCAGTCTGCAAGCACCATTTTGAAAGGAGATGTCTGCCTCCCCTTTGTGTAAAATATTACTAATGCAGAAGAGGCAGCGCAGGTCAAAAGCTTTGTTTTTCATTTGTTTCAGCAGTACATCAGTATGTTTAAGAACAAACGCCTAATCAGACAAACAAAAAGAGAATTCTATAGCAACCATTAAAAATTAAAAGCACGTATCCAGTGAATCACCCCACCCATATAGTTCAATAAACTGTCATAAAATGACACATTTTCAAAGGCTTATCCAAATCCTCTGTCCTTACATATCAAACAGACTGTATGCAATATCATGAACATATGTTCAGTTAGCTTTGAGCTGTGAGTAAAAGGAAAGCCTATTTATCATTTCTCCTCCTAAATCGTCTGTTAATGTGACGTCCAGTAGCACCATTTCTATTAATGTGTATTTGTTCTGACAAGCTCAAGTCATCTGTCTCTGCATCCATTAACCGGACTTGAGGCTGTTTCATGTTTATTTCTAAAGTGACGTTTAAATGCCGTAGTGATTGCTTTGATAATCCTAAAATGTCTGGAGTGATATGAATAATGTATAGTCACAGTATACTGTGCATATTTGCATGACAGGAGCATTTATGATTTATCATGCAAACCATCACATTCTTCTCATTGCAACACAAAACATTTACTTAACCTAATTTTCTTCTGTTTATATTTGCAGAGATTTCTGGGAACTCTGAAGACATCCCCCTGGTTCGCTGGAGGCAGCAGTGGTTGGAAAATGGCACTTTGCTCTTCCACATCCACCATCAGGACGGCAGTCAGAACCTGCCTGGCCCGGCGGCAACCACTTACCCCGCTAGTGACTCCGCCGAGGAAGAGCTTCGTATCCTGCACATCTCTGTCATGGTATGCAACCTGTCTGAGTTTGAGTTCTTGATGTTTGCTGCAGTAATTATTGGACAAATACTTCTGAATTATTTAAATTCATCAAATTAGGAACAAAAATCAAATGATACAATATATTTGAACAAAGTTCATTCTAAAAAACTTTAAATCTGTGACCCTGGACCACAAAACCAGTCTTAAGTCGCTGGGGTATATTTGTAGCAATAGCCAAAAATACATTGTATGGGTCAAAATGATTGATTTTTCTTTTATGGCAAACATCGTTAGGGTATTAAGTAAAGATCATGTTCCATGAAGATATTTTGTAAATTCCCTACCGTAAATATATGAAAACTTAATTTTTGATTAGTAATATGCATTGCTAAGAACTTCATTTGGACAACTTTAAAGGGAATTTTCTCAATATTTAGATTGCACCCTCAGATTCCAGATTTTCAAATAGTTGTATATTGGCCAAATATTGTCCTATCATAACAAACCATACATCAATGGAAAGCTTATTTATTCAGCTTATTTATTTCATTTATATGTATAAATCTCAATTTCGAAAAATTGACCCTTGTGACTGGTTTTGTGGTCCAGGGTCACATATAGATAATGGTAAGGGTGTTGCTTCAATTGGGCACATTTGGTCGTGTGAATTGTGGGAGGAAAAGAAAAAGAAAAAAAAAAATCAAACTCTCACTTTTGTTTTGTGGTGAAAATGACATTATAAATATTTTTGAATAAAATGTCAGATTCCATTGTCTTTGTAAGGCTAATTTCGTAGCTAGCATTTTGTGTATTCTAAATACTGACAATTAAATAATAATTTCACACTTCTGCTTAATGTGAGAAAATTACAGATTGATTAAAGATTACACACAATAAAAGCATTCTGCTCAGATTTTTTTTTTTCACACAACACATCTCTCATAATTAATCACATGAATTCTCTTCCCTGACACTGTTGTCTCCATGGTAACCAAGTACAAAACTAGGGGTTCAACGGATCACAAATCTCACGGTTTGGATCATATTATGGTTTTTGAGCCACGGATCGGATCATTTTTCAGATCAGCAAGAAAAAAAAAATATTTCAATGTAATGCTTTCCATTTATTACTTAAAGCTAAGTACATTTTCAATACCACAGCTAAAACTATATAGATTAAATATAGATTAATCTTATCAAACATGTGTTTTGCTGTTTGATGAGCATAGTGACAGCAGTAGGTATTTATAGGCTGATGTCCCTTTAAGACCTAATACATGGATCCAATATGATGATACACATCCGATTTCTTTCTCAGCTGTTCTCGTTCACTTAAGACTGACTGCATTTACCAGAATGATTGTCAAGATTGGTATTTTGTCATAATTTAATGTTTATATGTGTCTGTTCATAGGCAAGGACTGAAGGAGATACGAAAGAGGATTCAGTTCAGTGTTCGCGTTCAGTCTGAAACGCGCTTCTCTGCGTGTGCGGCTGTAATAGAAAACAATGCGCGAGTAACAAATCTAGTTCCCTTGCACCTTTTCTTTCACTGGAATGGTTTAAAATCGATTGTGTGCGTAAACACATACAAATGGTAAACTTTCACTCTATTATGGTTCAATTTTGCAATTAATCTGTGGATCACATGCATGCTGAACCGTGGGGCTTGGTCCGTTCGGATCACGAATCAACTACGATCCGTTCAACCACTAACACTAACTTTTGGTTTTGATCCACTATGGACTGTTCACTATTTGCTCATTCCATTATATCATTTTCACACAATAAATGTACCACTTAAACATATTTTTATAGCGTCATAGTATATTTATGATGACTTTACATAATTTTAAGATTGAAATTCTTGGTCTTGGACAAGAGTAAAACAATGAAGTCTATTCATAAAAATAATTTGAAAATTAGCAAAAAGAAATACTGAAGATTTGGCCAAAAAGTTTCTAAAACTGTTCTATATGGAATCCCACCATAGAATAACAAAATAAAATAAAATGAAAAAGGTAATTGCGTCTTTATTGTATAATTTACGTTTTTTTCAGCAATTCTGAGATTGTATCTCACAATTATTTTTACTCCTCAAAATTCTGAGAAAAAAAAATCTGAATGACAAAATATAAATAATTCTGAGTTTTTATCACGCAATTCTGACTTTGTAAGTCACAATTCCTATCTCAAAATTACGAGATAATTATGAGTTTATATCATGCAATTCAAAACTTGCAATTGCAAGAAAAAAAGTCTGAATTTTTAAATAAAAAAGTTGCAATTACCCTTTTTATTTTTTACTCAGTGGCAGAAGCAAGCTTCCATAGTTTTAATTTGAACTAATAAAGAAAAAAAAGGAAGAAAAACAAATGCTGTAGTTCTGTAGGTGCAGATTCAGTGTGGACTGAGTCAGGAGAGAAAATATTATGTAGATAAGAAAAGTTCAAGTTGTGTGTGAGATAGAAAGGGAGATAGTGTTTGTTCAGATTCAGTCAATTAGTGGTTACGCCTCCTGGCTTCACGGTTCTCCTCTCTCAGATCGTTATACTACTGTCATCCCAGAAGTAGTTAGCCTCAGAACAATTGGAGCGAAGACTCTTGGGGGCATAAGGATTTTAAAAGCTTTTAAACACACAGTATAATTAGTGAAAAATCCATATTTGTAAATTGTCATGCTGAACAGCAGTGGGATTTGCATGGGGCAAAGTTAGCGGTGACGAGCTGTGTAGCTAAGATGAATGGAGAGTTCTGAACACAGGTTGGATGAATGGGCTGTTCGAGTCAGTATTCAAGTCAAGTGTTTGGTATGCAAATATTTTAATAGGAAATGCACAAATAGCTCATTATTTCTTAATAAAGTAAAAGGAACATATGGGGGCTCCAGGCTTTGCTGGATTTCCTTTGCTGCTTGAATTTCAAATCCTGTAATTGCACATTAGAGCAGTATGGCAGTTGTTTTGAATGGCTAGTTGGTTCTCTGTGCAAAGCCACTGATTACTGAAAGATCCCTGTCGGAATATGATTCCTCCGAGCTCCGGGAAACCTCCTCTATTGAGCGAACCCTGCTTGATCCCTCAGAAGCTGAAGAATATTGCATGCCTCCCATCTCAAACACAGACTCTGACATTGATATCCCCACAAAGATAGTTATTAGTATTCTAAGGGCAACATGCGGGAAGTCAGCAGATGATTTAACCTCATTGAGGAAGGCAACAGGATCCAAACAATTTTCTCTTCTCAGGGCATTATGCTTGTATCATGAAGGACAGCGCAGTATTTAAGCAAAATTGATAGTGTTTTGATGTCCATGAACTGTAAACAGCAGAAATAATGGGCCCCGGTCATAATTACTTAATTATTCAGAGTACAGATGTACAAATAAGATTCAGAATGTGATCACTGCACGATTGAGACACCTCCGTGATTAAGGTTGTATAGGGGGAAATGAGGTAGAAGCTCATAAAGGTTGTTGTCAGACCAAATTAATTTTCACTGATGATTTTAGGTTTGTTACAGCTTATGATTGAGTTGATATTTTTTTTAGAATGCACCATAGGAAAATATATGTATGTGTAATTATTTGCTGATTAGATTTTGAATATTTATATATTTTATGAACGGCAAGATGTGCATCCATATCATTGTGATTGGCTGATTACCTTGTCTTTAAGGTAATGTCCACTTATCATGGTGAATAATTAAATTAGGGCTAATAAGCTAAAAAGAAGTTGACCAGTAAAAAAAAAAAAAAAAAATATATATATATATATATATATATATTGATATGTTAATCAAAATATTGAGAAAAAATGCCTTTAAAGCTGTCCAAATGAAGTCCTTAGCAATGCATATTACTAAACAAAAATAAATTTTTGATATATGTACGGTAGGAAATAAAAAATATATATCTTCATGGAACATGATCTTTACTTAATATCCTAAAGATTTCTGGCATAAAAATCGATAATTTTGACCCATACAATGTATTTTTGGCTATTGCTACAAATATACCCATGCTATATATATATATATATATATATTAAACTTTTTAATATTGACACTGCATAAACATTAATTGAACTGGAACATTTGCAGATAGAGATAGACGTCTTTGTGTTGTTATTTCAGAAGTCAACCATACTCTTCTGTTGTCCTGTGATATTGTGTTTTCTCAGGGCATTGTTCAGAAAAGTGATTGATCATTTCTATTTTAAAATCTGAGCAAAGCAGGTCATAGCTGCTTTGCTGTACATAGTTTGATGCTCGCAGAATGTGAAATTATCAGATGACCTTGAGTCCTCAACTTGCTCTCGAAAACAAACCAATTTGAACATATTCAAATTTGCAAAGGATGCAAAAGAAAAAAAACCTTCTTTAGAATATAATTTCTCTCCTTTTGCACCCATCCTACCCACTTGATTTTGCCATTTTATTCTTCTTAGCCTTCAGAGCTCAGACTGTGTTATTGCAAGGTGGGAGAAGAGTGGGAGTTTTTCATCGGTAGTGCAACGGGCAGCCTCTGCGACAGATGGTACCTACGCCGCATCCCCTCCTGGCTCTGACTTGTCTCGGCCGGAGGGCAAGCTCCTAAACCTAGTACCCCCTAAAATCATGTCACTTCCTTGAGTGCTTTGCAACGATGCCAGTCCCAAAGAGAGTGAGCCGCCAGTGTAGACACCTGTCACCCGTCCATGTCTATTGTGGGCCATACGTGGCGGTCTTCAGGCCAGCTGGGGCTTTTGCTCAGCTCAGTGGTGCGCGGTGGTCGTTCGGCGCCAGTCTCGCCATCTCACCGTGATAGTTTAGGCGGGTTTGTGGATGGATAAGCACTCGTCCAATGTGCTTTGATGAAAGCCCAGCTGTGCTGTCATTTTGACTTTGATGTGTTTTTTTCTTCTTTTTTTAACCATCTATTCTTTGGCTCGTATCTCCAGCTGCTATCACAAAGGCCACGTTGTAAATTGAAAATGTTTTTTTTCCATTTCAGCTTATTTTTCTTCTCTTTAGGGGGTAATGTGTAA